TCTCTCTCTCTCTCTCTATCTATCTGATTGCTCATGTACCCTATGACTATCGTTAAGTGTTGTACTTGATGATTCTTGACTCTTGACAAATCTCTCTTTTCTTTTATGTGCACTGAGAGCATTTGCACCAAGACAAATTCCTTCTGTGTCCAATCACACTTGGCCAATAAAAGAATTCTATTCTATTCTATTCTATTCTATTCTATTCTATTCTATTCTATTCTATTCTATTTATCTGTCTGATTTGATTGCTTATTATACCCTGTGACTTATTAAGTGTCGTACCGGATGATCCTTGACTCTTGATGAATGGATTTTTCTTTTATGTGCACTGAGAGCATTTGCACCAAAGACAAATTCATTGTGTGTCCAATCACACTTGGCCAATAAAGAATATTCTATTCTACAGATTCCCATATTAGATTCTCAATTTATGGATTTTGCTCTCTTCTCATCGTTACAATTAAAAATAGAACTTATGAGTTGGCACTGACCACACTTCGTTTAATGATCGCTAAAAGCTACAATGGCACTGAAAAAAGTGACTTATAACCATTTTTCATACCTACAACGGTTGCACCATCTCCATTGTCATGGGACCAAAATTTGGATATTTGACTCATGTTTATGACGGTTCGAATGTCCCGCGATTCCCCTTTTGCGACTTTCCGACAAGCAAAGTCCACGGGGGCAAGCCAGATTCACTTAACGACCAGGTTACTCATTGAACAACTGCATTGACTCACTCAACAACGGGGGCAAGAAAAGTCATTTAGCAGGGCAAGGCTCCCTTCCCAGAGTTTTCACTTAGCGCCATAAAATTCTGGGCTCAATTGTGGTCGTAAGTCAAGGACTCCCTTTTTCCAAGCTTCTTTTTCCCTTCCCTTTGCAGTGTACCGTAAAGGCCTTGTACGACTACAAAGCCCAGCGAGAAGACGAGCTCTCCTTCTGCAAACAAGCCATCATCCATAACGTTGACAAGCAGGATGGGGGATGGTAAGTCCCAGATGACTTTGGAGGGAGGAACTTCAAGCTACCTTTGCTGGGTAACCCCAAAGTAGCCAGGAATCTCACCTCTGGGAGTCAGGCCCCCCAAACGTAACAGAATTACCGAGGTGGGAGGGACCTTGGGGGTCTTCTAGTCTGACCCCCTTGGCCAAGCAGGAGACCCTAGACCAGGGGTCGCCAACCTCTTGGACCTCAGGGACCACCAAACTCATCCTTTTAAATCCCGCGGACCAGAGACCCCCTGGGAAAATCCCCCCAAAATGTCTGCTGGAAAATCCCCCACCCCGTTTTCCTACCAATCGAGCGCTCTTTATTTGGGATCGCAGGAGACCGTCTCCAGCTCCGTTCTCAAGGGGAGAGAGAGAGAGAGAGAGAGACTTTTTGCTTCATGCAAGGAAAGCAGCAGAAGCCGCGAAAGTCTTTCTTTCTCTCCCCCAAACTCCGCCAGAAATGAGTCTTCGTGAGACTTGTCATGCCTCTTGGAGCAGGAGGCCTTGCAGGGTCCCAAAGACTCATTTCTGGCAGACTTTGGGGGAGAGAAGGAAAGACTTTGGCTGCTTTCCTTGCGTGCAGCCAGAAGCAGAAGAAGAAAGAAGCGGGAAGAAGCAGCCTGGTAGAAGTTAACTTGCCGCCATTAGCCTGGGCGTAGCTGACTCTGAGATACGTAATTCACTGTCACCCTTGATCCTGCTTCCCCCGCCCCACCTCTCTGGGTGTATCATCCAACGAAACACATCCATAGCCCAGAGTCATCAATCATGCTCTCCAATTAAGATTTTTGCCGGCAGAAGCTTCAGTCCTCTAATCAGCCTCTGAAGAAAATATGAATGGAATGTACTTTCGATTCCACACTGCCGCCTTCTCTTTGAAACCACCCCCCGCTTCTTTCTGTTGACAACTATAAAACGTGTATACAAAATGTTTTAGGAGTTGACATTGTTGTCCTTTTCCTGTTCTGCTTGCGTAATAATTTGTACCACGTCATCATGGTCCCAGTCAAGAGTCCCAGTCAGAAATAGTGTAGGGTTTCCTGCTTGGGCAGGGGGTTGGACTAGATGACCTGCAAGGTCCCTTCCAACTCTTGATTATCTCTTATCTGTTCCCAACTGTTTCTCAGCTTTCTTTCCTTTCTTCCAGGTGGCGAGGAGATTACGGTGGGAAGAAGCAGCTCTGGTTCCCCGCTAACTACGTGGAGGAAACTTTGAGTGCCTCCGTGCCGGAGCAAGATGAAGCGGTGAGTTCCTCATTTTTCCCAGCTTTTTTTTTGGAGGGGGGAGGGGAGGGGGAACCGCTACGAATGTTGAGAGGACAAGCCATGTTGGCTTCATCCTGGCTAGCCTTCCCCTTCTGGGAATGTGGGACTCCACCCAGCACATCTACAGGAAACGAAGATGGAGGGTGCAAACCCAGAGAAGGGAGCGCAGCTGGCTGGGGAATTCTGGGAATTGAAGTCCACGCAGAGTTGTACAGGTTTAAAACGACAACAACAACAACGGTTTAAGAGTCAGTGAACAGAAGCGACCTTAAAAAAGACTAACTCGGTTACTCAGTGCTTCGCTACGAAACTATGTGGTTAGGCTTAGTTTTGGGGGGAGGAAAATAAGGAGGAAAAAATTGTGCCTCTGCCTACCGGTATCCATCTGGCTAGCGTCCTGTCGGTGTGCGAGAGAGTTGATGGCTGTTTGGAAACTGAAAGAGTATTTGCTGTGTGAGCAAGGAGGAGACAGCAAGGAGCCTGGGCGTGGCTTAGCTCAACTGTTCTGTACTAAAGCTGCTTGCTGCTATGAAACTGAAACCAAAACTCTCCTCTCCTCTGCTTGTGTTTTGCATTTGGAAGGGATTTCTTTTTTCCAGGTGGGAAGCGGGAGAAGAACTCCTTAGCATCAGAGCGTGTTAATTGCTGTAGAAGAAATATTAATGCAATCCTAACGATCCAAGGGTCCGTTAGAAAAATCCTTTCTTAGCGAGCCCCTAGAAGCCAAGAGGAACACACAGGGCCAAATTTCAAGTTTGTAGGCTTGACGGTTCTGGAGATTTTTGCGATGATGCGCGAGGGGCATTTGGCTTTTATATGTAGACATTTTAACATTTCTGCCCTCCCCTTTTTCTCTTTCTCCTCCCCCTCCCTTCCCCTCCCACCCCAGTCGGTGGAGAACAGCCCTTTGGGCAACTTTCTGAAAGGGTTCATCGACGTCCCATCGTGCCACGTGGGTGAGTGTCTTGCACAGCGTTTCTGTGGCTGGCGGTGAGTAATGGAGCGCTTCGGAGGAGGGGCGGGCGGGCGCCGGGACCTCTTTCCTTGGCCCCGGGGGGGGTCTCCCACCCACATTGTGGACCCCGTGTCAGGTTCAGCTTGGCCTCTGTTTGCCAGCTTCAAGGGTGACACCCTGCCTTTATTATTTTATTTTATTCTATTTTAATCATTCTATTTTACTTTTATTTTATGTTATTATTTTATATTTTATTATTTCTATTCCCATTTTATTTCGCTTTATTTTAGTGTATTTTATTATTTTATTTTAATCATTCTATTTTACTTTATTTTATGTTATTTCATGTTTTGTTATTTCTATTACTATTTTATTTCTCTTTATTTTATTTTACTATCTTATTTATTTTATTTTAGTCATATTTTACTTTATTTTGTATTATTTTAATCATTCTATTTTACTTTGTGTTATTTCAATCATTCTATTTATTATTTTGTTATGCGATTTTATATTTTATTATTTCTGTTATCATTTAATTTTGCTTTATTCTATTCTATTTATTTTTATTTTAATATTTTTTACTTTACTTTATACTTTAATTTTACTTTAATTTTACTTTACTTTATATTTATTTTAATATATTTTACTTTATTTTATTTTAATCATATTTTACATTATTTTGTTATTTTATATTTTAGTAACTCAATTATCATTTTATTTCACTTTATTTATTTTTGATTCTATTTTATTTATTTATTACTTTCTGTTATTGCCATTTTCTTTTATATTTTATTTTATTTTCAGATCGCTTGCAACTTAACCACTTACCGTTTCGTGACCATTTGAAGTTACAACATCAATGAAAAAAAAAGTGATTAAGGGTCCGTTTTTCACAGCATCTCCCTGGTCACATTCTTGTTTTGATGTAGCTTTTTTAAAAATGTTTTGATTGTTTTGTGGTTTTTGTCTGGTTTTTTTTTTCTCAATTTGTTTTCTGTAGGACTTTTTGATTGGCGTTTTTGTATTTTAACCTTGTTTTTGAATAAAATAAAAATATAGATTAAAAAAAATTCATAGGGTTGGCAACTGGCATGTACTTATGACAGTTGCAGTGTCCCGGGGGTCACGTGATCTCCTTTTGCGACCTTCGGACAAACATAGTCAGATTCACTTAACAACCACACATAACAGAATAACAAGAGTTGGAGGTCTTCTAGCCCAACCTCTGGCTCAAGTAGGTAATGTTATATCCTTTCAGACAAATGGTGGTCGAATCTCTCTTTTTTTTAAAAAAATATGTTCCTAACTGAACAACGGCAGCGATTTGCATAATGACCGTGGCAAGTAAGGTCCTAAAATGGCTCAAAACTCACTTCTCTTGCTTAAGCGCAGACATCCCGGGCTCAATTGTAATCTGGCTTCTCCATCATCAGAAGATCGCAAAGGGGGATCGGGTGACCCCAGAACACGGCAACTGACATAAGTACATGCCAGTTGCCGAGCCTCTGAGCTTTGATCATGTGACCATGGGGAGGCTGCAACGCTCATAGGTGTGAAAAAGAAATACCATGTTTCCCCGAAAATAAGACCCTGTCTTATGATTTTTTTTCCCCACCAAAAAAAAAGCCACCAGGTCTTATTTTCAGGGGATGCCATCCACTGACTAACCTCACATACGTGCGTCGTCCCGGGCCTCCTTTTCGCTGTCCGAGGCCTTCAGGAACTTCTTCTGCAGCCACAAAGGTTTTCCTGAAGGCCTATAAGAGAGCTCTGGATCGATCCTGAGCTTTGTTATCAGCTCCAGAGGCCTTCAGGATAAGCCTTGCCAGCCTTGCCGGCTGCAGAAGAAATGGGCCGCTGAGGCAGGTGTCAGAGGGTGCGAGGCCTGGATACACCTGTCCAAAGGTAAGTAGTCGGGCAGCTCCACCCCATCCCCATCATAGCTTAATATTTAAGAGTGGACGGGGTCTTAATTAGGGCTTATTTTGGGAGGTAGGGCTTATATTGGGCGCACGTGTAAAAAAAATGAAGCTAGGCCTTACTTTCAGGGTAGGTTGTATTTTTTGGGAAAACAGGCTATAACTTATTATTTTTTTCAGTGTCCTTGTAACTTCAAATGGCCATTAAACAAACGGTTGTAGGTTGAGGATGACCTATGACCACGAAGGTCATCTAGTCCAGCTCTTCCTCAGGGGAAGTGAGATATTTTGGACAGAGGGGCCACAGAGCATCTGTTGAAGAACATCAGTGAGGCCACCCCCTTCGTGGCTGTGGTCCTCTTCTGATTGCTTTTCCCCCAATGGGAGACCCGCGACCCTCCACACCCCGCACGCCCCCTGCCCCTCCCCACCCCCGGTCCTGCATTGCGGGGGGAGGGGCGGGCTCTTCCAGTAAAAGCCGCCCCCCTCTGATGTCCTTGTAGTTATCTCGAAAGACGCCAGGAGCCCCAAACCCTTTGTCTTCACCATCCATTCTCAGCAGATGACCCACCCATCCCAGTCGCTGGATGTCGCCACGGATACTCTGGAGGAGCTGAACGACTGGGTGGCCAAGATCCGAGAGGTCACGCAAAACGCAGACGCTAGGGTGAGTCCTCCTAACGGACATTCCCAAGGTTATCTCGACGAGATGGTAACGCGGGGTATTCTGGCTGGGCAAAATCCTTCCTGGGAGAGCCGGATTGATGACTCCTGGCCCATGAAAGGGTTCTGTTGGACAGTCTGATTTATGATACACCCAGAGGAGGTGCGGTGGGGAAACAGGGACAATTACGTATCTCAGGCATCCTGGTGTCAGGATGCCGGCGGTTTCCCTCATTTAATTCATGAGTCTCGAGCCAAACTTCCAAGACTTCTAAAGTATTTATTGGGAGTTGACATGTCCGGCACTGCCTGGGTGTAACCGACTCTTGAGATGCGTCATGTTCAGAGTTTTGCAGTGTTAATTCAGTGCCAGGAAAATAAATACAGATGGCTGAGGCTTCATTTAACCTCTTTATAAACCGCCGACGATGGTTTTGAAGAAGAAAGGACCTTACAGACAGTCACAAAAAATACGGTTTTATTATAATTGTTTTCCCTACTCTTTCCCCCCGCTTCCCTTCCCTTTCCCTCTTTCCTCTCTCAAGCCTCCCTCTCTTTCCCGCTTGGCCTATGCCAAGACCTGTTTGTCTTTTTGTTGTGTAGAATTTGTAGCTGTGTTGTTGTTTTTTAAAAGTAAAATTAATAAAGTTTTTTCTAAAAAAAAACAAAAAACATCTTTATAAACATCATCAGTAGATTTTACAAACCAGTTGTAGATTTCTCTAACACGGAGCAAACTCAGACAGAAACATGTTGCAAGTTCAGAGCAGAGCTCCAGACTTCAGCAAGCAAGCAAGCAAGTTAATCTTTTACTTTAGTTCAGCAAGAGGAGAGAAATAGTTTCATTTTCAACAGACTCGGAGCTCAACAGAGCTGCAGAACTGCAGATCTTAATAAAGAGCCACGCCTAGGCTACTTCTAGTTTCAGTTTCCAAACAGTTCTCATTGGCTGACTTAGTTGCTGTGGCTATTCATTGGCTGACCTTGTTATCACGCTCTGTTCCAGTTCATGAATATCCTGTGACACATCATTCATTGTCACCCTTGACCCTGGTTTCCCCCCCCCCACGGGTTCTATCATAATTCATATCCTCCAATGGGACACCTCCATAGCCCAGAGTCGTCCATCATGCTCTCCTGTTAGAATTTTGCACAGCAGAAGCTTCGGTCACCTAGTGACTATCTTTGAAAACATTTATGGAATGCGCGTTCGGTTTGCAAGCTGCCGCACTGCTCCTCCCTCACTTTCTGTTGGCAACTCTTAAAAAGACCAAAGAAATATTTTGTGAGTTGACAGTCGGTTTGTTGTCAGGATTCCAGCGATCGCCCTAATTCAATCGTGAGCCTCGAGCCAAACTTCAAAAAACATCAAAAGAGTTTATTAGGAGCGACACGCTGGCATGACCTGCATGAAGCTGACTCCGAGAAACCTCATTGACAATCGCCTATGACCCTCTTCCCCCACCCCCCACCCCCTCTGGGTGTATCAACATTCAGATGGCGCAATGAAACACGTTCATGGGCTAGGCGTTGTCAATCACGCTCTCCAAAGGAGGATTTTCCTGCCCAGAATACCCGGTTGCCACAGTTACAATCTTTGTAAAATAAGCTTGGAATGTTCATTTGCTGTTTGCTCCTTAAGGGTCCTTCCCCCTCCCCCCCCATTTCATACGGCAACTTAGAAACCAGCATAGGAATGTTTTACAAGTTGACCCTCCTGCTTGGAAGATCCGGTCCCTCAAGTTTTGGGGTTGGCCCCACCAAGTGCCTGTTCGAAGTTACGGAGTCTGAACGGCTTTTGGAAAGTCGGTTCTGGGGTCAGGATGCGATGGAATAGGACTTGGGGTGCATCCAAGGGCCTTTTTCTGCCTCTGTTGGCCAGGGAGCCTGATGGGAGAAGACAGAGTAACAGAACAAACAGAATTTGAAGGGAGCTTGGAGGTCTACTCGTCCAACTTTCTGCTCAGGCAGGAAACTCTACACCAGGGGTCTTCAAACTTGGCGGCGTTAAGACTTGTGGACTTCCAACTCCCAGAATTCCTCCTCCTCCAGTCATGTTAGCTCAGGAATTCTGGGAGTTGAAGTCCACAAGCCTTCAACTTGCCAAGTTGGAAGACCCTTGCTCTATTCTGTCTGTCTGTCTCTCTCCTATTCTGTTATGTTCTGTTCTGTTCTATTCTATTCTATTCTATTCTATTCTATTCCTTCCAATATTCTATTCTATTCTATTCTATTCTATCCGTCTTTCTATCTATTCTACCTCTGTCTGTCTGTCTGTCTGTCTAAAGGTTTCACTTCCCATATGAGAAGCTTCTACAGTTCTCCAGAATATACAATTACATTACTTCAGAACTGAAGGAAGCCTCTTGGATGGGAAGCGAAACCTTTTCAAGGCAACAAAAAAAAAACAGGAAAGTTTTTGGGAAAAGCACCTTTGGGACAACCATGACCTGTATGATGGAGACTTCCCGTAGATTCCCATATAGAATAAAGAGAATAGAATAGATGTATCTTTTCTTTCATGTACACGGAGAGCATTTGCACCAAGACAAATTCCTTGGGTGTCCAATCACACTTGGCAAATAAAGAATTGTATTCTTTCTTTCTTTCTTTCTTTCTTTCTTTCTTTCTTTCTTTCTTTCTCTTTATCTATCTATCTATCTATCTATCCTATCTATCCTATTTCTCTCTTTCTCTCTATTCTATCTCTCTTTATCTATTTCAGGGGTCTTCAAACTTGGCAGCTTTTAAGACTTGTGGACTTCCAACTCCCAGAATTCCTCCTCCTCCAGTCATGTTAGCTCAGGAATTCTGGGAGTTGAAGTCCACAAGTCTTAAACTGGCCAAGGTTGAAGATCCTTGTGTTAGAGTAATACAAGAACAGGAAATGCATCACAGGAACAATAGAGATGAAACCTGGAGTGGCAATGTGATACAGGAAATCACTCCAATAGAGGGGAATGATAGAGCTGCATATAAGATAGAGCAGGGGTCTTCAAACTTGATAGCTTTAAGGCTTATGGACTTCAACTCCCAGAATTCCTCCTCCTCCAGTCATGTTAGCTCAGGAATTCTGGGAGTTGAAGTTCACAAGTCTTCAACTTGCCAAGTTTGAAGACCCTTGATCTATTCTATCTATCCTATTTTTTTCTATGTATTCTACCTTTCTTTATCTACTCTATATATCTATTCTATCTATCTTTCTCTCTCTCTCCCCCTCTATCTATTCTACCTCTCTTTCTCTATGTATCTATTCCAGGGGTCTTCAAACTTGACAGCTTTAAGACTTGTGGACTTCCAACTCCCAGAATTCCTCCTCCAGTCATGTTAGCTCGGGAATTCTGGGAGTTGAAGGTCCACAAGTCTTAAACTGGTCAAGTTTGAACACACTTGCTCTACACGATTCCAGACAAATGGCTGTCTAAACTCCTCCAGTGTTGGAGCACCCACAACTTCTGGTAGCAAGTTGTTCCACCGGTTAATTTTTCTTGCTGTTAGGAAGTTTCTCCCTAATTCTAGGTTGGTTCTCTCCTTGGTTAGTCTCCATCCATGGCTTCCTGTCCTGCCTTCAGGATGACACCCCAACTCACCCCATTCTTTATGGCAGCCCCTTAAATACTGGAAGATGCTATCATGTCGCCCCCAGTCCTCCTTTTCATTAAACGAGACCTATCCAATTTCTGCAACCGTTCTTCGTATGCGATAACTGAATCACAGAGTCGGAAGGGACCTTGGAGGTCTTCTAGTCCAACCCCTTGCTCAAGCAGGAGACCTTATACCATTTCAGACCAACGGTGCTCCAATCTCTTCTTAAAAACTTGCAGTATTGTAGCATTCGCAACTTCTGGTGGCCAGCTGTTCCACTGGTTAATTGTCCTCCCTGTTAGGAAATTCCTCCTTAATTCCCAGTTGCTTCTCTCCTTGACGAGTTTCCATCCGTTGCTTCTCGTAGTGCCTTCGGGTGTTTTGGAAAATAGTTTTTCTTCGGGGCAGCCCCTGAGAGATCGGAAGACTGCTCTCATGTCTCCCCAGATCCTTCTCTTCATTAAACTAGACGTACCCAATTCCTTGCAACCGTTCTTTGTATGTTTCAGCCTCCAGTCCCCTAATTCTCTTTGTTGCTCTTCTCTGCACTCTTTCCAGAGTCTCCATATTTTTGTGTGTGTGTGTGGGGTGGAGTACCATAGTGAGTAAAACTGGAGGCAGGATTCCAAGTGTGGCCTTGCCAAGGCTTTTTTATATGGTAAAGACCGGCTCCAAATATCTCAGCTGGGCCTCTTCCCTCTGCAAGTCTCCAAAATATAATTCGTTCCTCCTCTCAGAGTCTGGCCCACCGTTTTCGAAAAAAAAAATTGTCCAGGCAGTTCTAGGTGTCCTTCAAGACACGCCCGTCCTTTTTAATCTTCAGAGACAGGACCTGAAGTCATTGTGGGTTTGGGAGAAGAATTAACGTGGAAGAACAACACGTTGGGACATTTTTTTTTTGCTCTGTATGTGCCGCCTGTGTATGGCGGGGTGGAATAGATGCTCTCCAGGTTACCACTGATCGGGATCTGTTTGTCTCATGTGCAGATGCAGGAAGGGAAGATTATGGAACGGAGGAAGAAGATCGCCCTGGAGTTGTCGGAACTGGTTGTTTATTGCCGTCCAGTGCCCTTTGATGAGGAGAGTAAGTTGTTATGTCCTTTCGTCCCGACTTTGCTTCAAATCAGGCTGACCTGAGGCTCAGGTGGGGTTCTGTTTATTTACTAGCTCGATACTCGTGCTTCGCTATGAAACTATGTGGTTGGGCTTAGTTTTTTTGGGAGGAAAATCAGGGGGGAAAAATTCTGCCTCTGCCTGCCAGCATCCATCGGTATTCATCTGGCTAGCGTCCTGTCAGTGTGTCAGAGAGAGTGGAGGGCTGCTTGGAAACTGAAGCAGTATTTGCTGTGTGAGCAAGAAGGAGACAGCAAGGAGCCTGGGCGTGGCTTAGCTCAGTGGCCCCCAACCTTTTTTGTGCCACGGCCTGGTACCGGCATCACAAAATGATCCGCGGCCCGGTACCGGCATCAGCACGCATGACAAGGCAAGGCGAGCCAAGCGACCGGCCAGCCAGCCATCCCCTGCTTCTCCCCGCCACCTTTCAACTCCTCCTTTGTACCTTTGTCGATGGGCTTCGCTTCGGGACGGTCGCTCGGCTCGCCTTGCCTTGGGTGCTGAAAGAATCCTCGCGCCTGAGTTTCGTTCGAAGCCCCCCCCCCTTCGATGAAACTAAGGCGCAAGGATTCTTTCAGCACCCCAAACGCCGCTTTCCAACCAGAAAAGCTCACCCGGAAGCACTTTCTCGTCAAACAAGATGGCGGCGCCCAGCAAACCGGCGGCCCGGTAGGAAATGTTCCAAGGACCGGTACCGATCTGTGGCCCGGTGGTTGGGGACCCCTGGCTTAGCTCAACTGTTCTGTACTGAAGCGGCTTGGGGCTGTGAAACTGAAAGTGAAACTCCTCTCCTCCGCTTGTGTTTGCATTTGGAAGAGCTTTCTTTTCAGGAGGGGAGGGGGAGTAGAACTCCTTAGCATCAGAGTGTGTTAATTGCTGTAGAAGAAATACTAATGAAATACTAATGATCCGAGGGTCTTTTTGAAAAATCCTTTCTTAGTGAGCCCCTAGAAGCCAAGAGGAACATACGTGCCAAATTTCAAGTTTGTAGGCTTTTTACGGTCCTGGAGATTTTGTGATGAGGCGTGAGTGGCGTTTCGCTTTTATAAGGATAGATTTAGCATACGGCATCTACAGACATCATCCAATCACTGATACAGGCAGTCTTACAACCACAATGGAGCCCAGAATATCCATTGCTGCAGCTGCTAATCCCCTTTTGCGACCTTCTGACAAGCAAAGTCTGGAACGGTCCAGGGTCTCCTGCTTGAGCAGGGGGTTGGACTAGAAGACCTCCGAGGTCCCTTCCAGCTCTGTTCCAATCGAGCAATTGGAGCCAGAAAGGGGAAGCCAGATTCCCTGATAGCAACCAGATTGCTAACTTGCCAAGTGCAGCGATTCCCTTCACAGCCGTGGAAAGGAAGGCCGTAACACAGGGGCAAAACTCACTCAGCAACCGTCCCGCTTAGCAACGGTAATGTCGAGACTTGGCTGTGGTTGTAAGTCGAGGACTTCCCGATATTCCCACTCTGCAGGGGGTGGCACGCTGAGCCGTGGAGGATCCGTATTCAGGACAGCTGACCTTCTTGCTCCGTTTTCTTTCCCAGAGATCGGCACGGAGAAAGCCTGTTACCGGGACATGTCTTCCTTCCCGGAGACGAAGGCCGAGAAATACGCCAACCGCAGCAAGGGGAAGAAATTTCTGCAGTACAACCGGCGCCAGCTCAGCCGCGTCTACCCCAAGGGGCAGCGCCTCGACTCCTCCAACTACGACCCCTTGCCCATGTGGATCTGCGGCAGCCAGTTGGTTGCCCTTAACTTCCAGACTCCCGGTAAATTCGTTTTAATCTTGAGTGGGTTGGATCGGGGCGGGTGGTGTCTCCAAACGTAGCCCCTTGAAAGACTTGTGGACTTGTGAGTCCCAGAATTCCTCAGCCAGCCTGCGTTCTGACCCAACCTGGTTCCAACTAAGTAACTCTGACAGAAAATAGCCTGGCCAAGTTGTTGTTCAAGGCTGCCAAAAACCCACAGATAAGAAAATAGTGACAAGAGTTTTCAAATACTAACTACAGTATAATGTCCATGAGGCTGAGTTTCAGAACGTCTTTGCCTTCTGCAAAGAACGCTTCTTCAAACCTGGCTTTTATCCTCTGGAAGGAGGGGCCGTGACCTTGCAGCCTTACTCCCGAGTTGCCTGTGCTGCTGTAACTGCTCTCTCCTACGAGCAATCCTACGCGCGCTTGGCACAGGCTCCTCGGGAACCTCCTCGTCGCTGCTGCCAGCCCCCACATTCTCCGAAGGCAGCAGTCCACTCCCTGAGGGTCCTGGCCCCTCATCTGAGTCCTCGTTCTCCTTAGCTGTCTGCACCTGCTGCCAGCTAACCACAACAGCCTGCTACAATGGTCACAAGGGTGAGAAATGGTCGTAAGTGGCTCTTTTTCCAGTGCCGTGGTACCTTGGAACAGTCACTAAGTTGAGGACTACCTATACTTCATTGTAAAGGCTAAATTCACAGAGTCTTGCAGGTCTGAGAATGCAAATCTCTCACCGTCTCTTTTTACAGCCTGATAAACGAGTGAGAAACCTTTCTGGGTTTCTTCCTCTACCTGTTATACAGCTGCAGGCTATGCGGTCTCTTCTCTGGCTGTTCCCTAGATCAGGGGTCGCTCACCTCTTGGACCTCGGGGGCCAGCAAACTCATCCTTTTAAATCCCACGGACCAGAGACCCCCTGGGAAAATCCCCCCAAAAAGTCTGCAGGAAAATCGCCCACCCCGTTTTCCTACCGATCGATCGTTCTTTATTTGGGATCGCAGGATACCATCTCCTGCTCCGTTCTCGGGGGGAGAGAGAGAGAGGGAGAGAGAGAGAGAGACTTTTAGCTTCATGCAAGGAAAGCAGCAGAAGCTGCAGAAGTCTTTCTTTCTCTCCCCCAAACTCTGCCAGAAATGGGTCTTTTGTGTCGGCGCAGCCTCTCGGAGCAGGAGGCCTTGCAGGGTCCCAAAGACTCATTTCTGGCGGAGTTCGGGGGAGAGAAAGAAAGACTTCGGCTGCTTTCCTTGCGTGCAGCCAAAAGCAGAAGAAGAAAGAAGCGGAAAGAAGCAGCCCGGTGGCCAGGCCAGGCGCGTGGAGCACATGGGGCAAGTTCCCTCCCCTCCTCCCTTTGCCCCCTCCCCTTATTACCTTGTGTTGTGTGCAATGCAAGTGATGCAAGCCTTGTGTTCCCGCAGCCATGTGGGCGGCGCAGCCTTGTGTTCCCGCACAGCCTGGATTAATTGCTTTGGGGGGGACATTTCTCTGCAGACCAGCAAAATTTTCTCAACGGACCACCAGTGGTCCCTGAGATAGCCTCTCTTCCCTTGCCTCCCAAGGCCTTTCCCGCACACCCTTATGTTCTCCAACGGCCCCGTGTCCCCTCCTCTGACCTCATGGGGTCCCCTTCCCGCTGTTCTTTCCCCTGAGTCCCAATTTCTCCCTCCTTCCAGACAAACCGATGCAGCTGAACCAGTCGCTCTTCATGTTGGGCGGGCGCAGCGGCTACGTCCTGCAGCCGGACCTGATGCGGGACGACCTCTTTGACCCTTTCGACAAGAGCAGCCTGAGGCACGTGGAGCCCATCACTGTCCAGTTGCAGGTCAGTCAGCTGGGACCTCGCGGGAGGCCTCCCGAGGTGGGTCTTCAGCAGGTTCGGACCAGTTCTGGAGAACCGGGAGCGGAAATTTTGAGTATTTTGGAGAACCAGCAAATTTTGGCCACCCCTCTGACTGGCCCCGCCAACCCCCCATCTCTCCTCTGCCTCCCATTGAGTCCCAGCTGATCGGCTGGGTCTCCTTTGGTTGCCCTGCACAGGAGAACGGAGCTGGAAAGCAGGTTAGTGGGATGCGGTAGGAATGGGGATTTTGCAGTAACCTTCCCCTGCCAGGCCCACCAAGCCACGCCCACCAAGTCTCGCCCAAAGAACTGGCAGTAAAAAAATTTGAATCCCAATGGATGGATGGATAGAGAGAGAGAGAGAGATTGAGAGAGGATGGATGGATGGGTAGGTAGGTAGGTAGGTAGGGGTAGATATAATTAGGTTGAGAGAA